AGTTGGACACGGGGTGACCTATCCCTGGGACAACCTGGGCCTGGGGTGACCTGTCCCCAAGGTTACTTGAACACGGGGTGACCCACACCTGGGGTTAGTTGGGCGTGGGGTGATCTGTCCCCGGGGTGACCTGTCCCGTGTTAGTTGGACATGGGGTGTCTGTCCCTGGGGCGACCTGTCCCGTGTTAGTTGGACATGGGGTGATGCATCTCCAGGGCATCCTGGGCCTGGAGTGACCTGTCCCCTGGGTTACTTGGACAAGGGGTGGCCCATTCCTTGGGTTAGTTGGACTTGGGGTGATCCGTCCCTGGGGTGACCTATCCTTGGGGTGACCTGTCCCCAGTGTTTTTGGACATGGGGTGACCCATCCCTGGGGCAACCTGTCCCCGGGGTGACCTGTCCCCAGTGTTTTTGGACATGGGGTGACCCATCCCTGGGGTGACCTATCCTTGGGGTGACCCGTCCCCGGGGTTAGTTGGACACAGGGTGACCCATCCCTGGGGCAACCTGTCCCCGGGGTGACCTGTCCCAAGGGTTAGTTGGACCTGGGGTAGCCTGTCCCCAAGGTTAGCTGGACCTGGGGTGACCCGGGTGACCTGTCCCAGGGGTGACCTGTCCCCAGTGCTAGTTGGACATGGGGTGACCCATCCCTGGGGTGACCTGTCCCAGGGGTGACCTGTCCCCAGTGCTAGTTGGACATGGGGTGACCCATCCCTGGGGTGACCTGTCCCAGGGGTGACCTGTCCCCAGTGCTAGTTGGACATGGGGTGACCCATCCCTGGGGCAACCTGGACCTGGGATGACCATCCCCATGGTTAGTTGGACCTGGGGTGGCCTGTCCCCAGGGTGACCTGGACCTGTCACCAAAGTTAGCTGGACCTGGGGTGACCCATCTCCAGGGAGATGCATCCTTGGGGTGGCCTGTCCCCAAGGTTAGCTGGATGCCGGGGTGACCCATCTCCAGGGAGATCCATCCTTGGGGTGACCTGTCCCCAGGATTAGTTGGACACGGAGTGACCCATCCCTGGGGCAACCTGGGCCTCTTACTTGGACACGGGGTGACCTGTGCCTGGGGTTAGTTGGACTTGGGGTGACCCATCCCTGGGGTGACCTGTCCCAGGGGTGACCTGTCCCCAGTGCTAGTTGGACATGGGGTGACCCATCCCTGGGGCAACCTGGACCTGGGATGACCATCCCCATGGTTAGTTGGACCTGGGGTGGCCTGTCCCCAGGGTGACCTGGACCTGTCACCAAAGTTAGCTGGACCTGGGGTGACCCATCTCCAGGGAGATGCATCCTTGGGGTGACCTGTCCCTGGGGTTAGGGGGTGACCCATGCCTGGGGTTAGTTAGATCTGGGGTGGCCTGTCCCCAGGGTGACCTGGATGTCCCCAGGATTAGTTGGACACGGAGTGACCCATCCCTGGGGCAACCTGGGCCTCTTACTTGGACACGGGGGGACCTGTGCCTGGGGTTAGTTGGACTTGGGGTGATCCGTCCCTGGGGTGACCTGTCCCCAGTGTTAGTTCGACACGGGGTGACCCATCCCTAGGGCAACCTGGGCCTCCTACTTGGACATGGGGTGACCTGTGCCTGGGGTTAGTTGGACTTGGGGTGATCCGTCCCTGGGGTGACCTGTCCCCAGTGTTAGTTGGACACGGGGTGACCCATCCCTGGGACAACCTGTCCCTGGGGTGACCTGTCCCCAAGGTTACTTGGACACGGGGTGACCCATGCCTGGGGTTAGTTAGATCTGGGGTGGCCTGTCCCCAGGGTGACCTGGACCCATCCCCAGGGTTAGCTGGACCTGGGGTGACCCATCTCCAGGGAAATGCATCCTTGGGGTGACCCGTCCCCGGGGTTAGTTGGACACGGGGTGACCCATCCCTGGGGCAACCTGGGCCTCTTACTTGGACACAGGGTGACCTGTGCCTGGGGTTAGTTGGACCTGGGGTGATCTGTCCCTGGGGTGACCTGGCCCCATCCCCAAGGTTAGCTGGACCTGGGGTGACCCATCTCCAGGGAGATCCATCCTTGGGGTGACCTGTCCCTGGGGTTAGTTGGACACGGGGTGACCCATCCCTGGGGCAACCTGGGCCTGTTACTTGGACACGGGGTGACCTGTCCCCAGTGTTAGTTGGACTTGGGGTGACCTGTCCCTGGGGTGACCTGTCCCCAGTGTTAGTTGGACATGGGGTGACCCATCCCTGGGACAACCTGTCCCCAGAGTGACCTGTCCCCAGGGTTAGTTGGACCTGGGGTGACCCATCTCCAGGGAGATGCATCCTTGGGGTGGCTTGTCCCCAGGGTTAGTTGGACACGGGGTGACCCATCCCTGGGGAAACCTGGGCCTGTTACTTGGACACAGGGTGACCCACGCCTGGGGTTAGTTGGACTTGGGGTGACCCATCCCTGGGACAACCTGTCCCCAGAGTGACCTGTCCCCAGGGTTAGTTGGACCTGGGGTGACCCATCTCCAGGGAGATGCATCCTTGGGGTGACCCGTCCCCGGGGTTAGTTGGACACGGGGTGACCCATCCCTGGGACAACCTGTCCCCAGAGTGACCTGTCCCCAGGGTTAGTTGGACCTGGGGTGACCCATCTCCAGGGAGATGCATCCTTGGGGTGGCTTGTCCCCAGGGTTAGTTGGACCTGGGGTGACCCGTCTCCAGGGAGATGCATCCTTGGGGTGGCTTGTCCCCAGGGTTAGTTGGACCTGGGGTGACCCGTCTCCAGGGAGATGCATCCTTGGGGTGGCTTGTCCCCAGGGTTAGTTGGACCTGGGGTGACCCATCTCCAGGGAGATCCATCCTTGGGGTGACCCATCCTTGGGGTGACCCATCCCGGGGTGCCAGCCCAGGGGACAGAGGGGACACACACTGACTGTTGCTCACAGACACCCTCAGGCTCCTTCCCTGCTCTGGCTGCCAACGGCCCTGAGATCCAAAAACCTCCCAAAAACCTCCCAAAAACGACCTCGGAGAAGCCCTGGGCTGAGCCACTGGGTGGGATCCAGCCCAATTCCTCCAATTCCAGCCCCAACCCCCCCCGGACATGGCAAGACCCCACGGGGCTGGGGGAGAGCAGGGGGGTCCCACACAGCCCCCCAGGTGGGTCCCAGCACCCCAAAAAGCCCGGGCTGTGGGGCGCAGCCTCCCGAATCCCGACGCCGGGATGTGGAAGCCTTTAAAAAAAAAAAAGGAAAAAAAAAAAAAAAAAAAAAAAAAACTATAAGTATAGGAACACACTGAATGCTAAACATTTTGAAAATGTGCATCTTAATAGCAATAGCATCTGCTCTCTCTAACGCGGTGTTTTTGTGCAAAACCCAACCCCAAGGCTGGATCCGTTTTCCCCCCTCTTCTCTCCCCCCTTCCAAGTCATCGCTGGAAAATTAAACCGGATCCAAAGAGTTTTTCCTTTCCAAAATGTGCTGGAGAGGAGCTGCCTTAACCCTTTCGCCTCCTGCCTCCCCCATCTCCCAGCTCCCGCATTCCTGGGTGGAGAGTTTACATTCCCCCCGTCCCCCGGCCATCGCCTCCGGAAAACAAAGCGCCCTTGGGGCGGGATCGGCTTTTTTTGGGGGTGGGGGGGGGGGGG